CTGTACCGGTCTTCATCTTCTAATTTTTTCATCAGCGTTCAACCAACTATTGCTAGACTTAAAGGGGGAGGGTTTGAATCTCAAAGTTCGATTCTGTCTCAGGGCGAATATACAGCAAGGTTAGCGGGGATTCTGGGCGGGCTGAGCTGGAGGAGGCTAAGTTCCGGGAAAAAACGAAAACGTTCATGCGTGTAGTCCTTTGGTCATCGTTTATTGTTCAGCTTTTCAGCAAAAAGCAGATGCGGTTCTAAACGCATCACTTCGTTGCACCCCTTCTTAGATAGCGCAGAGTTTCGTTCAAAACAACCAAACAAATCTTAAGCGCTAAAGTTTTGGAGCTCAATATAGTAACAGCAAGACTGAAACAGAAAGTTTAGGTACTTGTCAAAAAAAAAACCTCTCGCGATTCCTGTGGCTCTCTGTTCTGTTCTTTCATGTTCAAGCTTTTCTCAACTCATGTGAGACCGCTTCTATCAAATTCCACGTTTAGTGAAGTCTGTTAAAGGCACAACCCAGGCAGAGGTCGTGTGAACTCTTCTCTTCGGTCAGAAGTATAGAACCCTAGGGGACAATCACAAATGTGGCGTTCACGTGCACGGAATTCGACCGACAAGAACGCTTTGGGCTTGCAAAGTAAGCTGCTCGAGCTGCAGCGAACGAGCTCTCTTATCAGGCCGTTGTCTGGTGCTCTCTCATCTGATGCGCTCTCTCGCCCCATACTCTCCTCTTCGCGCTTAGTCTCTCGTTCCTTTAGCACAGCCAATTAGGAAGGTGAGTGAGCCCTCAACCTGAGCGTTTTCGACGGATTCTTTTCCTTTTTTCTTCACTGCCGGCCCACTTGGCACCGATACATTCACATTCGTGTGCAAGAGCCACACCAGTGCGATCCTGGGGCATGCCTTTAAGGATTAAACTCAAATAACTGGCTTGGATGTCTTTTACTCCGAAATCATTCGTCGATACTTGTTTTGCTGATGTTGCCTATTGGTGCGAATTTCGCTCGTAGTACCTCAATGAGACTTCAATGTCCTTCCGCTGGTAATTCGGATGTTGTTTGTCGTGAGATCATGTTCTAAATAAACAGAAAATGTCGAAAGGTGAGGGGAGTGCGGCCGGAAAAAAACGGAGTGCTACGATGATGGACATCGGTCTCCGTGCATAGCCCGTTCAAAGGCGCTTGAGGGTTTCCGAGGAGGTTCTGCGAACAACACCGTAAGGACTGAAAGTTGAAGCTTGTTGTCGTTTCAATCAGCTGATTGATAAGGGCGTAAAAATTCTGAAAGCGTGGAAAATGTTGTTTGGAGGCAAGTACTCAAGCTAATCGAAGTGGATTTGTGGAAAGATACATTTTATCAAAATTAAGCATATCTTTCGCTGAGCAGTATGTACGTCATGCTTGTCGTTTTATTCTATCGCGACCATACGCGATTATATTTCCGTTGTTTTCCTGTTTTTCTTCCTGTTTATTTGTTTATCTCTCTACTCACATACGGTTGACCATCTCAGAAGTTGATCATATCATAATCGATTTGGCGCCAAAACGAGGGGGTACGCAGGGGAGATGGGGATTTGATACTCAGTGTGTTTTCTCTCAACACTTCGGTCCGCTGTATTCCTGGCCCAAGATCGGTCATCGACTGGCGCTACGCCTCCTCATACTGCCTTCTTGAACTACTTCTGCGATTCGCTGTTGCTATTTCCTGTATTTGTGTAGTGCACCTATCAACGGTTGTGTTAATTCGATGTTCTCTAATGGACGATATTACACACATGAAGCCACCTTCAGATCAATTCTATATTTCACGGCGGAAAGGCTACTTGCTTTGCTGACACCCTTAATCAGTTAGAAAAATTAGTCGGCAATAATAGCGGCAATAAGGAGTGTAGTGGAGTGGCACGAGTTACCACGCGAGTGGTCGGGGATCAAATCCTGGCTCGTGAGTCGCCGGCAAACACACTTAGGAGGGATCGAGATTCAATTGGTACAGACTGTTTGGAGGACTAAAAACACCGATTGTACTGGCTGGACCACCGAAAGTGCACTGTGATAGGCACATTATTCAAATGACCACTATATAGTACCAAATGGGAGTAGAATGCCATGTGCGAATCCAAAAAAGGCGTCGGAAACGGCAAACGTTATCTTTCATCTATAGTTTGGCATAATTCTTCTGATCGAAGGCGATATGGTGGATATACATGTGATCAAGCGTATTTCGTAAGAAGATTATCTGAATGTGAGATAAAAATAGCAGTTGTTGATTCTCGAACTTTGCAAGATCGTATAATAATGTTAAACCTGCCGCTGGACCGTTTTAAACTAAGAATTTCAAGACAATTCCTAAGTTTCCATATAACTGTTTTAGCTTGGGAATATTTCTCATGAAGCTGTGTCCTTTTAGAATGAAAATTAAAGTCTTTACCAGTTTTCTTCTTCTTCGTCGAATGCATCAGCCAGTAATGGAAACACGAGCAAAAAAGTCCAAAATAACATTGCTGTTCACGTCATTGCAGCAAACTCGATATTTCCTTCAAGAGCACTCGATAAACGGTAACTGAAGTGAGGTCAGTGGAAAACCTGAAATGGAATTTGTGGCTACGATTGCTGGCGATGCTGTACAAGGTTCTCGGAAATTCATGCACCGCAATGAACATATTTAAGAGGTGCTAGCATGCTATGAAACAGGATTTTAGCCTTTTTGTATTCGTACGGTGTTTTGCTTTTAATATTCTGTAAATGCAATTAAAATGAGACATCGTACAAAAAACGCAGAATCATGAGAACATAGGTAAACAATAATTGTATGAGATAACACGCAGATATCAAAGAACTTGACAAAAGGAATCCTTCTATTTTATAAAGCGCTAACTTTGTGTGTCGGTTTGTATGTCTGTATGTGTGTGTATGTATGTATGTATGTATGTGTGTCCGTCCGCAAAATGAAGTGGTAGGGAAACTCGTGAAGTAAACAGACCGTTAACAAAATCGAGTAACTATGACTTTAGCAATCAATGTTTTGCAGTGCTATCAATGTGATAACACCCCAACGGCTATATAAACACCTACTGAGCATGGTCTCATTCATTCCACATGATGCTGCAATAGCAGCTGGAGAGCAGTAGAGGGAATAGGATAAGATGGAGAAGGGCGAGGGGAGCTAACCGCCAAAAGACCTGAGGTCCAATTAATATCATTCTAAGGTCATGTCACGATTACGGTAATGCCTTCTACTATATAAGACACTTTTCATGCGTGCCTACCTCCACGAGGTGTCCATGTCACCAGTGGATGGGAGCACATTGGAAGGAGTAAGCTTGCGCAGGTAAGGAAGGTCCCGGTGGTTGCCGGGAGACCAATCTGGTTGAAGGATAAAGGATAAAAGCATTTGCCGTTGATCAATCCCTTTTTGGGATGCGGCACATTCTACTTCCATTTGTACATTCGTAGTGGCGTTTGAATGCGATGTGGCCTATACAATGACTTGCGGGGCCAGCCGATGTACAAGTCAGTGTTTTTTTATCCTCCCAGACAAGTCTGGTACCAATTAACCGACCCCGGAGGGATGGAAGGCTTGGTTGGCCCGGGCGACTCACGACCCAGGATTTGATCCCGGACCGCTCGCGTGGTGAGCGCGCCACTTGCCACTACCACTTCCGCCCAAATATATATAAAGTAGAAAAAAGGAGGAATAAGTAGCAGTATAAGTGTAAGGGCGGAAGTGGTGTAGTGGCAAGTGGCACGCTTACCACGCGAGCGGTCCGGGATCAAATCCTGGGTCGTGAGTCGCCTTCCATCCCTCCGGGGTCGGTTAATTGGTACCAGACTTGTCTGGGAGGATAAAAACACTGACTTGTACATCGGCTGGCCCCGCAAGTCATTGTATAGGCCACATCGCATTCAAACGCCACTACGAATGTACAAATGGAAGTAGAATGCGTGCCGCATCCCAAAAAGGGATTGATCAACGGCAAATGCTTTAATTCGAATAAAGTTCGTATAGGTTGAGAAGCGTGAACGCTCAAATTTTCGATTGGCAGTGCAACAATTGTGCCGGGTTTGTTACCGCGGTTTAAACTCCGGGCCAGAAGACTTGAGAGGCGGGAAAGTGATAGGTCTTAAAGAAAACGGAGCGGGTCGCCACGCTATGAAGGCGTTTGCGCGCCGGGAATGGCGGAAGGGGTTTAAAGCTTCATAATTTGGTTTCAAGAAAAAAAAAAAAAAAAAAAAAAACATTGCTGTCACCGCAAAGGTTGAATAAAGTGGTAGAGGATAGATGGTAATTGTTGTTGGGTCGGGCGCGCGTGAGCGACATGTGGGCGGAGTTCGCAAGCACTAAATTATGATTCTGTTTCGAAGAACCCGAGTCAGGAAAATGGGGAAGGTCTGCAACGGAAAAAGGAGGCGCAATGCGTATTCACCTGAGAATCGCCATTTTTAAAGTTGCACATCCATTTGTGCCTTGATGCGCTATTATCGCTCTTTATTCTATTCGATTTCATTAGTTGGACGGGATGATTTATCTTAGCGAGAGCGCGGTCGTATTGTATCAGTGGATATTCACGCACTCTCGAGCAGTACACAGGGCACCGATAGTTTTCGGCAAAACAAGCATCGCAAAGGGTAAGTTTCAAGAGCCTCTTTTCTACAAACGGGCGGAAGTGTCGTAGTGACAAGTGAACGCTTACCACGCGATTCGGTCCGGGGAGATGCGTTTGCAATCCTGGGTCCGTGAGTCCTCGCTTGGGCAACAGCTTCCATCCCTCCGAGTTGGTTGTTCGGTACAGATGTTAGAGGACAAAACCCTGACCTTTGTCATCGGCTGGCCCCGCAAGTCATTGTATAGGCCACATCGCATCCAAATGCCACTGCGAATGTAGTATAATGGAAGTAGAATGTGCGTGCCGCATCCCAAGACGGGATTGATCGACAGCAAAAGCTTTAACCTTTATCCTTTTATCCTTCTCTAAAATAAATGGTCGAAGCAACAGTGATTTCAGAGAAAGGCCCAGCACCTTTCTGTCTCTCAATAGCGGCTCCATTCTGGGTTAGTTGTCATCAAGAGCAATTCGCTTCCTCGAAAAAAGGCGAACGTATCCGCGAAAGCATCGAAGTTCGGCAGTGCAGAGCTAGCGGAATGCCGTTCTATGTGAGTTGCAGAAAATTGTCGGAGAGGACTCTACCACGTACAAAGTGGCGCTTCACGCAATTTCTTCAATTCAGGAGATGAAGCCACTCGATCCTTCATCAAACCCACTCTTCAGCGAGCATGTCTATCTGGGAAAAGGCGTTATTCGCATCGACCGTAGCGCATATATTCCAACCGAAGAAAAGGTGAGCGATTGTGTTGAGACTAATTCCGAGCTGATCCTTAACGGTTCGTATTACGTTCAGTGGACAACCTTCTTCGCCAAAACTGTAAGCACAACTCAGAAACGGCAGTATCGAGTTCCGCTTCCTTGGAGGGGTGGTGTCAGCAACACCAAGTACGTTCGAATTTGTCAGAAAGACTAATTAATAGATACAACTGGGAGCTGGATTGTTTTATGTATGGTCACCTCTCCCTCTTGATCATCCTTCCTCTTTCTGTTCTCTCTTCTTTGTGATCTTGCTCATTCTATCGGCTACCTGTTTCACCATACTAAACATACACGTACCCTCGCCTTCAAATGACCAGAAATTGTGCAATTGCAGAAATTGACGTGGCATCGATTCAAGAACATCTTTGAGCACACGTGATGTCACCTTTTCATCGAGAATTTAGCCACGTGTGCCAATGCCACGTCAATTTCTGCAATTGCACAATTTCTGGTCATTTGAAGGCGAGGTAAGTGGCGCATGGTTTCCCTACGTGTGAGATGATTCATTCCGCTACTGGAAGCCGTAGGCATCCCTGAAACTGGACAGCCTGTGGCTCGCTAGGTGAAATGCTTTAGCTGACCTTCCCATAGCCTCCCCATTTCTGCTGAAGCTCACCGCTTGATAATGCGAATCTTCGCTTTGACCAGGGATCTTTCTCTTGTCATCAGTCATCCTACCGTTGTTGTACCTCACAGCATAGGCTGACTTTCTTTGTGCTGTGATCTTGAAAGACAAAACCTATTACTTTTTCAGGATTCCTCGTGCTCCACCAATCAGAGATATACGAACCACTGTTCGTAATATGGCAGCCGTCGACAAGAACAAGGAAGATGAAAAATCTCTGCTCTCTAGTTCAGGGTTAGTTGAACTTGCAGAAAGGAGATGGCAGAAGAATGGTGTCGCAAACTTATACTTCTCTTATTCCTTCTTCGAACAAGAGAGTTATCCAGAATTCTCTTTTGAGGGTCAATATTTGCAAGACTATAAGCAAAATCAGCGAGGTGCTTTCGAGGTCGCGGTAGCCCAATTTCTGGGTGGTTCAGCATGTAGTGTGACAGCAGTGATTCTGTTGATCCCGCGAGAAAGGAAAGGAGAGAGCTATCAGAGGAAACGATTCCTGGTTTAGAGTCCTGTTCTTGAAGGCGGATACTCAAGGGGTAGAGCGCGGCCGCTCTTCACATCGAACTTCAGCACGTCCTTCATTAACACGTCCTTCATCGTCACCCGCATGGCGCACTTTTTTACATGGCCATTGCAGCTCAAGCCATACGTACGCACGAATATTCTACTTGCCATGGCGAATCCAAACGAAACACAGTGCCACAGTCGCACTGTCAACGTAAGAAAGCTGAGCTCTATCATAGGTGTCTCATAAGTATGTCGCTTCCACAACCAAAAATTTCATTTTAATATCTCACCATTTCTCTTTACATCTGTTCATATACCGTTCGAAAGACAATCGTCTGCTCTACAAGATGCTATATTCCCCTTCCACCTCTGTTCCAGGGTTTTCAAATTTTAGGCCTGCGAAATGGGAGGTCCAACCGACAAAAATTGACCAAACCGAACGACTACTCTGCTCCTTTATCTCCTGCGAGAAGTCCATCAATGATTAGCCTCTCACGACTCATACATACCTCTGCCGACATGTAACTATAGGTCCACTACAAGTCCTCCTAGACATTTCCACACGCTGGTTTCAAGCCGCGCCGAACGTTCAGCACTTACCTGATGTCTAGGTCGATAATTTTTATAGCCAAATATGAAAACTAGTCGAATTTCCCACAACAAGCATACGACTAATTGAGTTGGAAATTAGCACCTGTGATTATCTCACTCTCAGGGATAATAATTTCAAACGATAATGCGTCTTTTCGGGATAAAAACACTCTTATCCTACACACCTATAAATTCGACATAATTCCGAACAAAGAATAAAACATGCAAATAGGAATAAGCAGAAGATTCTTACAAAAGAACATCCTCGAAATACAACAATGCGTTTGCGAGCAACAATTCATTAAACCTTCTATGGCTTATCGGTCAGCCAATTCGAAAAGAAACACGGCAAACTTTTTCGGCAACCTAAGGTGGAATGTTCAGAAGAGGTCATGAGTAAGTAGAGGGTACATCATTGATTGATTTCCCCAGGGAAATAAAGTTAGAGCTAGTTGTCGGTTTGGTCAATTTTTGTCGGCTGGACCTCCCATTTCGCAGGCCTAAAATTTGAAAACCCTGGAACAGAGGTGGAAGAAGAACATAGCATCTTGTAGAGCAGACAATTCTCTTTCGAATGGTATATGATGTAAAAGCATGAGGATTTAGAAGAAAATTTTGTTGAAAAAACGACACTACTTATGAGACAACCTAATATATTATACCTTACTTGTTTTCGAGACACTTCTGATGATTAAATTCCTGTTAACTCAAGGCCTCGGAAAAAGTGAATACGGGTTGTGGATGAGAGCCGCGTAGGATGGATAATTTCAATGAGTGGAAACCTTGAGAAATGATATCGGAAAATACTCCCTATTTTTGGGGTCCAACATGACAGCGATGCTTTCACACAATGGGGGCTATTGGGCTGGAATAACCCGTCAAATGCGAACACTTAAAACATGCCTTTTCGAGTAAAATCGAGAACATCGAATCATACTAGCAGATTCAACGTCTAGGGAAAGCAAAACAACAGTAGACGAAAAATCGAAAGAAAAGAAGAAAAAGAAAAAACAGCCATCAGGACGAAGACGACGTCGTTTACCACCACCTAGCCAAGACGTGACAGGCTACAATATTATCAAACCGCAGGTAAACTATGAGAACTTGCCTACTTGCAAATATATGCCTATGATACTTTTACTCCACATTAGCTTTGAATCATATGGAATGCTCGAAATAGTGCTTAGTCAGATTCACATAACAGTAGGAATGTGCTGGCATAATCATGACATCACGATAGACTGAAATCAACTGATTAAAACCCTAGATTTGTTGGCGCTTCTTCTCCCACTTTCTCTTTTCTCCCACTCCCTTCTTTGCCCTACAGGCACCAATGTAGCACAGTGTGGAACGACTGAGAGTGTGCTTCAGTGGGTGTTTGAATAGCATTGTTCACACAATCAGCTATTGCAGAACGTGACACCAGCTTAACAGCTCTGTCAGCTCTTGATTTTTCCCAGCTTCCTCCCCATCTTCTGATGAAGTGAATTTCGCACTCATTCACAAACATACAACGTACAGACAGGGTCAACCGTCCGTTGGACGAAGTCCAGCGAGGGGGTGGGGTCGTATTTGGAGGGG